GAAGCCATTATCCTCAGCAAACTAACATGAGAACAGAAAACCAAACACTGCATTTTCTTACTTACAACTGGAAACTAAATGATGAGAACACATGGATACATGGTGGGGGAACACCACACACTGGGACCTGCCAGAGGGGTGGGGTAGGCAGGGAGAGCATCAGGAACAATAGCTAATGGATGCAGTGCTTGATACCTAGGTGACAGAATGATCTATGCAGCAAACTATAGTGGCACATGTTTACCTATGCAACAAACCTGCACATCTTACACATGTACCCTTGAACTTAAAAGTTGAAGAAAAAAAAAATAGTTGGGTGTCGTAATGCATGTCTGTAGTCCCAGCTACTCAGGAGGCTGAAGTGGGAGGATCAACTGAGCCCAGGAGGTCTCGGCTACAGTGGGTCAAGATCAAACCACTGCAGTCCAACCTGGGTAACAGAGTAAGGCCCTGTCTCAAAAAAATTAAATAAAAAATGAATATGCCTTGAAAGAAAAAAAAATTTCAATATGTTGAGATGAGGGAACTACATGGGCAGTGTGCACAAAATTCATTCCTACAATTGTTCAAATTTAGAATCATAACTGAATTATTACAACACACATAATTGCAAAACTGCTGGTATTGGTAATATTTTTTAAAAGGTAGTGAATATTTTTTCCCAGTATTGTCCAAGAGACTTTTAATTCAAGGGAAAAAAACCCAAATGAAATGCAGTTGCCAAAACACACATACACACACACAAGTGCACAAACACACCCTACATATTACTTATAAAACCGAAGTCAGTGTAAGTAACATTTATATTTATTTCATCCATTGCTATCCTGATACTGTGATTTTGCATTAAAAAATGCACAGGCAAGTTAACACCTAGAGAAACAGCTGTTGGTGTAATGACAACATTCCTGGAGCTAATGTCAAAAGATCTGGGGTTAAATATGGATGCCATCATGTACTAGTATGTGGCGTTGGACAAATCATGTAATTGGTACTGCTGAGCTTCTGTTTCTTTATCTATAGATGGAAAAAAATTCCACTTACAGCCTAGAATCACTGTCAAGAATAAATGAAATAGTGTGTTGTGCCACCGTTTTTCACTCTCCTTTCCTCTCCTTACAGTAGCCTTTCTTGCCATTAGAACTAGACTTTATTGCTGTGTTTATGAGGTGCAGGTAACAACGTCGAAGAAACTAGACGGTAAATAACCTCAACATGCAAACCTGAATGTTAGTTGGCTATCATCTAGATCCCAAAGGGCTCTTGCACACTATCCGTTGCTTCCCAGAAATCTGATTTTCTTTCCTGAATATAGCCAAAATTATCTATGGGCTTTGAAATATCACCATCATGATACTGCACAAAGCAGCTGGTTGATTGAAAGTGACTACCCCTCCCCCACACTCCAGCTGTCACCAGGAAACCCTCTTCAATGTGTGAAAAAGACAATATAATATCACTAACTACCACTATTAATAACAATGTAACAAATACTTAGCATTTGAAATTATTTTTCTTATGAAGGCTCATTATTAACTAAAAATTAACTCTCTAAAAAAGCACTTTACCATATAAAGTAGTTGCTTTCACACAACAAAAAAATGATAGGGCTATAAACACAAGTAAAATACATTTCCCTTGACTTCTTGTTTCTTTTTCCCTGAGTCATCTGTAATCCTAAATAACAGTCAGTTAAAATACCAAATAGCTTTCAATAGTGATAGAGTTGTCACAACTTGGAGGGATTTTTTTTTAAGCTAATTCCTCAAAAAAGTGCACAGAATCCTACTTTGTAAAGTATGGGTCAGGTAGATTTTTGTTTTCTCGATAATGACTCACTCCCCTGTATGAGAAGCCATTCATATGGTGACATGGCTGCCAACCTTGGAAACTGTCTTCAGAACAAGTTTGTGAATCCCATTCACCAGAATTCTTAATGCCATTACTTTTTAGGCACAGCGCATGCCCTGAGGATTTCTATTTCACCACAGAGTTTCATGTCCTCAGCTCCTGTGGTTTACAGATAAGATTAAGAGGCTCCCTGTTGAAAAAAGACATGAGGACCACTATTTACATGACTATAACTGCAACATAAAAGGAAATCTACCTTTTAAAGAATCACTTCTGTTTTTAATAGTTTTTAAAGAACTTTTACTTATAAATGTATTTATCTAACTTTACATAAATGTATAGATTGTTTCATTTTATACTTGGTCCCCCCCACCCCCGTATTCTAACACATTGACAAGTAAACAAAATTATGACTTAGTATGAGTTCTTCCAAGTATTTTCTGTGCTCAGACATTAATATGCAATATAGGCACACAAAAATACATGTAATAGATGTTATCACTTAATTAAAATGGAATGTGAAAGTTTTCACTTTGCTATCATTAAGCATTTGTGTTTTTAAAAAATATTAGCAATTTCAGGGCTAACTGCATTTTCTTATCCTTTAGCACATACCTTCAATGAGTTCTCATTTTCTGTAACAGTGTCCCCTTCTCTAGCTGACTGTCCTCATTAACAGAAGGTACTTTATTACTCATCCCCTGACCTTTGGATATTTACCTTCCCATAAACATCCAAAACAATTTATAGAAGTTGCTCTGTTACAGCGATAAGACTCAAGATTGGGATTTTTTTCCATGTTAAAGTTGTAACATTTTCAGGTGTTTGTTTTTCCTCATTCACAATAACGTTAAAGTTTTGACTCTTCATCTTTTATGGTTAAAATCAGTGGAGTTAAGTAATAAAATTACCTCATTTATAAAAATATTATAAACTGAATGGCATAAAGTTAGGTTTGGGGTGATAAACACCATTTTTTCCCCTTGTCCGACATGCAACATTGACTGAGCCTCTAGGCCTAAAACAAGGCGGACATGTTTTATGCATTATTTCATTTAATTCAATGGCCTGACGCAGCACATCCTATGACTCCTACTTTACAGGAGAAATTAAAGTGGGAAGGGCGTTAATTTGTCTAATGGAAACAATTACTAAGTAGCAAAGGCAAGATTCAGAGCAGGGCCTGTCTGACCCAAAACCACAGATAGAGATTTGCCTCTCTGATAAGGAGAACAAAAACATATTTGAGGCCTTTGAAAAATAAACATTTCATGATGAGACAGTGCCAGTTTGGTGTCAAAGCTAATGAAATTATTTGCAAAAGTAATAATCCATCCAAAGTGACTCATGTTTATGTGAAAACTCTCTCAATATCCAGGAGCCCTGGTGTAGCCTTGGGGACAGTGTGTTCTAATGAAAATCACGTGTAGGCCATGGTTTCGCACTGACCTTCTCAACATTGCAATGAACCTAGCCTTTAGAGCAGCTGCCCTAAATCCTGAATATTTCTTCCCCTACACTGAGCCCCTGAAAAAGGTAAAGTTGTAAGAAAACACTACATCCAAAAAACACAGCAGGTTAAGGGCACTCCTGTGATCCTTCCTGCAAATGGAGCTATCTAGAGAGACATGATACCGTGCTCGCTACCGCGGAGCTGTGTGACATATGGGAAACAAAGATAAGAATACAAACATCTTCGGCCTTGGCTTTTGCTTACAAGTCACTAAGATAAAATACTTCTCAACTGGTCTTTACCAAATTCCGGGTCAAAAGAAGGTAAAATTAAACTGAAAACGAGGCATGGGGATCATCTGAGTTCAGGAGTTCGAGACCAGACTGGCAAACATGGTGAAACCCTGTCTCTACTAAAAATACAAAAATTAGCCCGGCGTGGTGGTGCACGCCTGTAATCCCAGCTACTCGGGAGGCTGAGGCAGGAGAATCGCTTGTACCCAGGAGGCAGATGTTGCAGTGAGTTGAGATCGCGCCTTTGCTCTCCAGCCTGGTCGGCAGTGGGAGACTGTCTCCAAATAAATAAATAAAACTGAAGAGATCAGAGGGTCAAAGAATCAAAAACTACTCTTCAACATGAATACTAACGCTATTCTTAAAAATACTATAAGAGTATGTACTGCTATAACTTCCAACATCCTGCATCCAACAACCTTGACTACACAGAGCTGAGAACTCTGCAGTAAACAAAATACTAAGCATTAAACATTTTTCTTGCATTTTCATATTACAGCGCTATACGGTAACATGTCCAAGTTTCTCCACCTAGGAATTACTTCAATTCAAATTCCATTATATGTGACTCCACAATGGGTGTTATCACTACACCAGTAATTCTCAAACTTTAGCATCCAGGCAACCGAAAGCCTTGTTAAAATATATTTTTGATTCAGTAAGTTTGGGGTAAGACCCCAAAATGTGCATTTCCAAGAAGTTCCCAAGTGATGCTGATGCTAGAGTCCCGGGACTATTTAAAAACCAATGCACTTCTATTCTCCTTGGAAAGAGTGTTTGTTTTCCACAGCGATGCCAGGCCCGCAGCAAATCAGAAGCCTTTAAAGTTTATTAGAACCATCCCCGAAGACACACAACTGAGAGAAATCAAAGACTTCTAACAAGTAATTTCAAAGGGGGGAAAAACGTCTGGGTGTACTGCAAAGAAACCTAAACACCTCGATAACTGAATCATAACTAAGCAGGCAATCATTCATTTTGACAGTAACTTTTAGTCTTAAAGAGAGATTACGCTCAGTTTGGAAAAACAAATAAGCCTGTGATCCGTTTCTTGCAAAGGTCTATCCAAAGGTTTTTAGGGTCTGGGCAGAAAGGGTTTACTTTGGTTGGCTTTTTGTCCCCGAATTACTGCGGTGAGGGTTAGGCTTGTTCTGAGAAACCGAAAGTTGCCCCGAGGGCACCTGAAACTGCAGGCTGTGCTGCTGATGCAACGTCACCTCAAACTTCCTGCTTTCAAAAGGAGCCCTTTACACTGGCTCCGAGCCAACCCCTTCCTCCGAGTGTGAGGACGTCGTTCCCGAGCGGGCCGGCGGAGATCGGGCAACGTCGACCGGACCCCGGGTGGAGCTGCCCAGGAAACCCCCTCCTAGCTCTCGGACTTGCCCGGGACCGGGAGGCTGTACCTCCATCCCCGCAACGCCTCCCTCGCCCTGGCTCCCCGGGAGGCGCCGACCTCCGCCCAGCAGCCCCCGCCCGGCCGCCGGCGGCCGCAGCCCCGGGGAACGGCGAGAGACGCCGCGCAGAACCGACGACGGGAGCGGGACCACGCCGACGCGGAAACTCACGCTCTCTACGACCAGCCTGCGTCCCCACGTCTTTGCGTGCACGTGCGTCATTACGCACGTTCCGGATCCCCGGCGCTCCGGGTCACTGCGGGCCAGGTGCGGGAGGGGAGGGCTTTCAAGCGGAAGGCTCGGCCGCAGCGCATGCCCAGTGGTGCGCGCCCGCGTTCTGCCGTCTGCGGACCGCGTGGGGCTGCAGCGGTCCAACAGGGGCCGCGAGGGCACAGCAAGCCAAGACCGCGGCGGAGCGCGGTAGGGAGAGCGTGGACCGTCGTCCCGTCCTCTGAGCTCCGTGTGAAATGTGGATAATAATATTCCTGACTGCCATAAATAGCCACTGGCGGCTTACCACACGTAAAGCAGACCAGCGACCTGCGCTCGAGGGACACGGCAAAGAGGGGAGAAGCGGCGAGTGGGTCCCGGCCGCCTGCTCCGGGGGGCGCCTCTGCCCGGGATCTCTGCCGGGAAGCTCCGTCGTTCCCGGCCCCAGCGCGGCGGCAGACCGGGGAGCTGCTGCCCGGAGCGCCTGTGAGGCGGAGGTTGGCAAGGACACGCTCCCGCTTCAGGAGCTGTCTGCAGGCCGCGGGAGGGCGGCTTATTGCAGAGTCCCAGAGCCCGCCAGCAGGGCAAGCTCGCGGGGTGCACCTTTCACTCCCAGAAGCTTGGGTCTGGAACTGCACCACGCAGCGTTTGCCCATTTTGAGGGCTTTAGGTGTTTCGTATTAAAGTTCTTAGAATTTTGATTAATAGAGCATTTGATACAATTTTAATGGTTTGCTACTCGGGAGCAAGTTTTATGTTCAGTTGTAGGAGTCAGGCTAAGTTAAATGTTGCAAGTGCTGTCTATATTTATTTCATAAGATATATAAAAACTATCCTACAGCGGGCGCGGTTACTCACACCTGTAATCCCCACACGTTGGGAGGTCGAGGCAGGAGGCTCGCCTGAGCTCTGGAGTTTAAGACCAGCCTGGAATAGCAGTGAGACCTTGTCTCTATTTAAACAACAACAGACCGAATGCAGTGGCTCACGCCTGTGATCCCAGCACTTTGGGAGCCGAGACAGGCGGATCACCTGAGGTCAGAAGTTCAAAAACAACCTGGCCAACATGAGAAACCCAGTCTCTACTACAAATACAAAAATTAGCCAGGTATGATGGTGCACTCCTGTAATCTCAACTAATCTGGAGGCTGAGGCAGGAGAATCGCTTGAACCCTGGAGGCAGAGGTTGCAGTGAGCTGAGATCCTTCCACCGCACTCCAGCCTGGGCGACAGAGTGAGAATCCGGGAAAAAAAAAAAAAAAAAGGAAAAACACCAAAAACTGTCTTCTTATTTGGTATGGAATTTTCTGATCAGGTAAAGATGCTGTTTTTCTAAGGCTGAATCCGAGTACAGGTGGTTTAGTGTTGCTGTTTGTTTATTGGAAGTTGCAGCAGCTGTGTAGTCTGCTGAAACAAAAACTGCCTAAACCGGAAGAGTTTATCTTTTGCCATTGTGTATTGAAACTCTTATAGAAATATTTATTCTGGAGTTTGAAATGTAAGTGAAAATGTGGCTCATGCATAGGTGTGGGTGTAAATATTACTTTCAAGTGTCAAAGAAGTTTCTTAGCAAATTGAGTATGTTCCTTAAGACTTATCAGTTACCCCTTTCCTAGAAAAACAATATACTCCAAAAGCTCAGCTGACAATGAGAAACTGCATTTCTGGAAATGAAAAGTCAAATGAATGGGGGGAAAAGTAAATTGTCTCTAGAGATATTTTCTATATTTCCCTAGAGGGGGAAATTTGTGATTTCTCAAAAGGAAGAAGTCCTCATTTATCCTTCTGATCCACAATCATATGAATCCATTCAGTTAATGTTATTCGTATCTTCTATTCTCCATCACTCTCTACACCTTTCTAAATCGCATCATATTCTTGTCTTTATCATAATGCATCAAATACAGAGGTGATTTTAAGGAAGCCACCAACTAAGAAGTCTCAATTCAGTAATTCCATTAAAATGTAGAAATAATAGGATTTAAGAATATACTTAGGTAATTATGTTCTGTTTCAAATATTATCAGTGAAAAATTTCATAGACATTTAAGAGGTAGAAGACATTTGACAGGTAGAAAAAAAATCTACCTTTTTAAAAATGACCTTTTCTTTTGTCCTATGTGATTTGTTGAGCAGACTGGATTTTTTTTAAGTTTATTGAAATGAGCATGTTGTAACATGCTTATATCCCATTTAAATTGACAAACATCACTTGGATAATAACTGTATATCTTAACTATTAATATATGAAGCAGTTAGCACCATCCTTTCACTGAGCAAGGCTTAAAAATACCAAAGAATCAATGCCAGAAGAAATTCTTTAACATAAAAGGTATGTATGACTGCATTGCCATATACGACCATGATTTCTAAATGCTCAAAAGTATATTTCTCAATCATGAGACCAGGCAGCAGTATGCACATTGTGTGTAATATGTGAGACGTTTAATGGTCTAAAATAATTTTTTAACTTTTACTAAGGCTTACAGAAAAGCAGCAATACCTATGATTAAGTCATCTGACTTAAATGAATGTTTCTAAGATGTGGTGCTTGCACATAAGCAGAGGAGTTGTGGTAACAACCCTTGTACAGTTCACAGATCCAGGACGGGAACTGGAAGGAAGGTAAACAAGTGTCATTCTCAGTTTTCAGAAGCCAGCCAGAAAGTGAGAGGATGACAGGCAACAATACCACTCAACACCACCAGGCAACAAATACACACCTGGATTATCTTTTAAAGGGAGAAGCTTGTTTGAATTTCTAATTGCTTTTAATGAAGCAAATATTGATTACTGTTACACCCAAAACTGTACCAAAATATATGTAAGACTGATCAAAGATTTATAGCAAATTGAATAAGACTCAAGAACTGAAAAGTAAGAACTTGTTCATGTAATATAATGATAAGAACAACAATACTTAACAGTAGACCATGCAGACACTAACCATGAGAGATTTGTAGTGGCTATACTAATATCAGATGAAATAGACTTTAAGACAGGAAGTATTTATTTTCTTTTTTTTTTCTTTTTGTGACAGAGTCTCTCTCTGTTGCCCAGGTTGGAGTATGATGGCATAATTGCAACTCATTGCAACCTCTGCCTCCTGATTTCAAGCAATTATCTTGCCTCAGCTTCCTGAGTAGCCGGGATTACATGCGCCCACCACCATGCCTAGCTAATTTTTTGTATTTTTTTTTTTAGTAAAGATGGGTTTTAGCCATGTTGGCCAGGCTGGTCTCCAACTCCTGACCTCAGGTGATCCACATGTCTCAGCCTTCCAAAGTGCTGGGATTACAGGTATAAACCAGTGTGACTGGCCTACAATAAATATTTCTAGAGACAAATTCCATACTGATTAAGAGGGTCAATACATTGAGAAGATATAACAATTATAAATGTATATACACCGAGTAATAGAGCCCTAAGTTCATGAAGCAAAAATGATTGAATTGAATAGAGAAATATACAAACAAGAGTTGTTTGATATTTCAGTACCCTACTCCCAATAATGTATGGAACAACAAGCCAGAAAATCACTATGTATATAGAAGCCTTGAGCAAGACTCTCAAACTGATATGTGTAGACCACTGTACTTAATGACAGAAGATTTTATGTTCTTTTTAAGAAGTATACTCTCCAGGATAGCCCTATGGTAAGCCATAAATCTCATAAATTTAAAAGAATTGATATCATACAAGGTATGTTCTTTAGTTATAATGGATTAAATTAGGGATTGACAATAGAAAGAAACTTGGAAAATTCCCAGATGTTTGGAAATTAGATTACTTATCGGCCAAGGAGGAAGTACTAAAGCAAATTAGAATGTATTTTGAAATGAATGAAAGTGAAAACATATTGAAGTCACACACTGCAGCTAAAACAGTGATCAGAAGGATATTCATTCCTTAAACATCAAGAAAAAGAGTTTCAAATCTACACTTCCACCTTGAAAACTATAAAAAGAGGAAGAACTTAAAGCTTTAGCAAAAGGGGGAAGTAATGATCATATTGCAGATGAATGAAATAAGTAACAGAAAATAGAGAAAATGAAAATTTTTGAAAAAAATCAGTAAAATTAATGAGCCTATATTAAGCTGACCAAAATAGTTTAAAAGACCAAAATTAGGAATCAAAGCAGGTCCATCATTACCAACCAAAATTAAAAAGATTGTAAGAGACTGTAAATAACATTGTGCCAATAAATTAGACAATGCAGATGAATTGGACAAATTCCTAGATAGACACAAATTGTCAAAACTGACTTAAAAAATCCAAAGAGACTTTATTTTCTATGGTTATTGTAAAATATATATATATATATATTACAAACTACATGGCTTAGGACAACAGAAATTTATTATCTGACAGTTCTAGGGACATGAAGTTCAAGATAAAGTGTTGGCAGGGCCATGCTCCCTCTGAAACGTAGAGGAGAGAATTCTTGTCTCTTTCCCGCTGCTGGTGTTTCCAGCAATCCTTGGCCTTTCTTGGTGCTCCTTGGCTTTGTAGCTGCCGCACTTTGGCCTTTGCCTGCATCACTGTCATACGTTGTTCTCTCACGTGCCTGTGTCCTAGAGGTTGAAGTGCCCAGCCTACTCCAGTATGACTTCATCTTAACGAATTACATCTGCTGTGACCCTCTTTTGAAATAACATATTCTGAGGGACTGAGGGTTAGAACTTCAATATATCTTTTTGGGTGACACAGTTCAACCCATAACAGACATAGCAAGTACAGAAATTTAATACTGTCCACAAAGAAAATCTTCCCACAAAGAGAAGCCCAGGTCTGGATGGATTCACTGGTGTCAATCCATGAAATATTTAAGGAAGAAATAATACCATCATACACAAACTGTTTCAGAAAATAGAACACTTCTCCACTTATTCTCTGAGAATGTTATTACTCTGATAACAAATTCAGACAAAGGTATTATAAGATCAGCATCCCTTGTGAACATACAAAAATTTCCAATAAAGAATTAACAAGCCAAATATGGCAATATATATGAAGGATAGATCATATACCATGAATGCAAATTTGATTTTACATTGAAAAAGGCCAGGTGCAGTGGCTCACACCTGTAATCCAAGCACTTTGGAAAGCCGAGGTGGGAGTCTTTGAGCCCAGGAATTTGAGAAGAGCTTGGGCAAGATGGTGAGATCCTATCTACACAACAAGTTAAATAAGCCTGGCACGGTGGCACACACCTATAGTTTCAGTTACTCAGGAGGCTGAGACAGGGAGATCAATTGAGCTCAGTAGTTCAAGGAGCAGTGAGCTTAGATTGTGCTACTGCAGTCCAGCCTGAGTAACAAAGGGAGACCTCATCTCTTAAAAAATAAAAAATTCGTATCTGGACACTGTGGTATGCACCTGTAGTTCCAGCTACTCAGGATGCTGAAGCAGGAGGATTACATGAGGCCAGGAGTTTGAGGCTCTAGTGGGCTATGTTTGCATCTTTGAATTGCCACTTCATTCTAGACTGGGCAATATAGCAAGACCCTCTTGGCAAAAAATTAATATAAAACACCATATTAATAAACTAAAGAACAAAAACCACAAGAGCATCTGTCTTAGTCTATTTGAGCTGCTACAACAAAAATTCCATAAATTGAGTGGCTTATAAGAAACAGAAATTTATGTCTCAATTCTGGAGCCTGGAAAGTTGACAAATGAAGCATCATGGACACATTGTGTCTGATGAGCTCCTGCCTCCTCATAGTGCCCTCTTGCCTTCTCACTGTGTCCTTCCATGGTGGAAAGGAGAACTAGCTCTCTGGGGTCTCTTATAAGGGCACAGTCTCATTACTGAGAGTTTTGTCCTTATGACCTAATCCCTTCCCAAAGGCTCCACATCCTAATAACATCACCTTGGAGATTAGAATTTAAACATCAGAATTTTGGGGCAACACGAATATTCAGCTCATAGCATCATCTTCATAGACGTAGAAAAGCATTGTTTTAAATCCAACATGTATTTATGATAAAACCTCTCTAGGAAGTAGGAATGTAAGGGAACTCCTTCAATCTAGTAATAATAAAGGACATCTATAAAAAAGCTACAGTCAATATCATGCTTAATATAAAACATCAAAAGCTTTTCCCCTAAGGTTAGAAACAAGAATGTCTGCTCTCACCACTTCTATTGAACATTGTACTGGAGGTTGCAGCTAGCGTAATAAAAGGAACAAAAGAAATAAAAAGATCTAAATGAGTAGAAAAAAGTGAAAGTCTTTATTCACAGATGACCTGATCTTATATGAGAAAATACACACACACACACACACACACACACACACACACACAAA